GGGGGGGGGGGGCGAATTTTGACCAGTTTCTACGCAACCTCGTAATTGACTATTTTCCAATTCCCCATAATACACTCTGTCTGCCCCCCAAATTTTGCATAACTTATTGTCTTAAAATGCTCTTGGGAAAATGCAATACTCCCAGGAGCATTTAAAAACAATGGTTTATGCAAAATTTGGGGGGCAAACAGAGTGTATTACGGGCAATTGGAAAATAGAGAATAGCCAAGCATCCCCAAAACAGTTTCATGATGCATTTCGACACTGCCTCGACCCAGTGTCACGTTTAACGTCAAAATAGCTGATACAAACTGTGGTGGGGAGTGGTGGAGAGGTCCTAAGGGGGAGGGGAGGGTGAAAAATTTAAAAATGTGAATAAATCTGAATATGTCAGCTTTGCGGTTTAGTATAGACAGAAAACATTTGTGAAAAGAGAATTTTTCCAAGACGCAGACCATTACGTGACTTCTCTCGATCTATAAGCGTCAGACAGAAGACATTACATCCATCTTTGGCATAAACTGCAGAATAAAGATGCCCTTTTGTAACTTATCTTTGCGCTTGCCTTCGCTCTTCTCAAAAGAGCGAAAAGTACCATCTGTTTTGCAGACTCATTAGGGACCTTGAGCAAGGACGACGAAGGCAGTGAAAACGTGGGTAAAAAAATGAATTTGCGTTCTTTCAAACTTAATCGCGTCTATTTGGACCCGCTCAATATGTCAAATGCAGGCGACTTTTCCTGGAGTTGAATTCTTAAGGATTTTATTCAGGTTGAAAAAGAGGAAGGAAAATTCGTCGTCATATGTCCACGTCCTCCATAAAACGTCAAATTAGGAGATTTCATGTCGTAGTCGTGCAGTGGACGTCAAAGAAATGTACTAAAAAGTGTGATGCACGTGCAGAACTGTTGTTTTGATCATTAAACCTATTGTTTTTTGAAGTCGTCGTTGTGGTCTTCGTCGTAGTTGCTTGTGATTGTGAGAGCTAAAACACGGCGTGGTGAGGACTGGGATAAAGTGGCCTCTTCTCTCTCAAGTCCTCCTTCTTTTTTTCTCTTTCTTTTTTTTCTCTTAGCTTTTCTTTCGCGTTTACTGACTATGACAAATCAAAGAAGGCTAAGAGAGCTGAAAGAGGTTTTCTAGTGAAGTATCACGGGACGAAAAATGGGTATTGATTTTAAAAAAGTCAGGTCAGATGTAAAAAACACGGGGAAAATTGCAACCTTTTAAGGCTAAAGTTTTGTGCGTAATATTTAAAAAGGAACAGCTTTCGCATTTCCATATCCACTGAATGCAAATGCTTGAGTTTTTTAAAGGTGGAATAAAGACCATAAAACGTGTGATATGGCACTTGTTCAGTTCAATATCCCCCTCATTTGAAGTATTGAAACAAAAAGCCCGCTTTGTGCAATGCTAAAATGGAAAAAAGAGGTCACTAAATAAACATGTCAACGGCCGTGCGGACAGAACTGAGTGCTTTTACACCCTTCGACAGGGGATTTTTCCTTAATTATTTACTGTTATGGTTCTTGTTGATATGGTATGGAACGTTTCAGCGTTATATGTATAAACAGGTAAAGGAAATATTATCACGTCTTTGAAGAACATGACAAATGATGTCAGTGTCACAAAGTGCAATGATCAGCTATTTTCTGGAAGGAATTTGCGAAAACCTATTTCTACCGGATAATGTAATGTAATCGCGAGGGTGGGTACGAATACTGGTGATTAAACAGACTTTAGAAATCAGAGTAGAATCATATCAAATCTAGAAATATACAGATTATGTGTTTCATAACCTCAGTTAACAAAATCACACGTCCTTTCAACAAAACAAATCCTTGTTCATGCAAAATACAATGTCGCTTTGTCTTTGCACATAAAGCCTAACAAATAACAAACCTTTATTTAATAGGGAAAATCTCTCTGACAGTCAGTTTCAGATTATGATGATAACAATGTATTATTCTTTATTGTCGATTAACTTTAGTATTACGTAAGGAAATGCCATCTGTAATTGAGCTATCCAAATGAAGGCTATCAATCTGTACTAATTTCCTGTGCAGGTGATTTTTGTTTTTGCAGAAAATGTATCAAGTTGAAAACATTCTTTAGTGTCAGCTTTTTCAAAAACAAAATCAATCAAGGCTGTGAGCAGGATTTTCCTGCTCTGTTGTGCTGAGAAGTGCAAAGCAATCTGCTAATGTTTTGAGTCCATCGCCGCGATCAGTCAAAAACCAAAGGTAATCTTGAAAATGAAAGCGAATGGGTAGAACTTTTTCGCGGTAATGTTCATGGGCTTTGTATACAGTAACGAATAGTTTCAAGTACATACTATATCCCTGAATTAAAGTCTTAAGTGCAACCGTGGAAAGAAGGCAATGTTTTAC